CTCTCCACAGTGTCTTGTGCACGCATTTAAACCATCCCGATGGACTCTCGCTCTCTCGTGCGCGCGCATGTTTTTTTTTTTTTTTAATAAAAAGGTCTCGATGGACCACAGATCAGATATGAAACTGAACGGAGCAGATACTACGCTTGATCGTGTGGCGGGAAGGATCTGATATGAAACTGATCGAAGCATATGCTACACGATCGTTTTTGGGGGGCGCGGGGGGGGGGGGGGGCGGGAGGCGCATAGTTCGTTAGATTGGTCTTTCTCTCTCTCTCTCTCTCTCTCTCTCTCTCTCTCTCTCTCTCTCTCACACACACACACACCCACACACACACACACACACACACTGGGGGTAGCAGGGGAGTGTGCGAGTCGTCATAACATTGTACGGGAGAGTTGAAAAGTCATGTATGTCGTGCGTTGTAGAGTTCTCTCTCTCTCTCTCTCTCTCTCTCACGCACACACACACACACACACACACACACACACACACACGCACACACATGCTCGTAGTTCAAAGCAAACAAAGAAACGAAAGCAACAGATATCAATAACAAAGTGTAGTTAACTCACCGTCAGTCAGCGTCCCACCTTCAGGATGCGGAGCCCAACCTCCGGCACGTAAAAAAGCGTTGTGTGTGTTCAGTCTGGGTGTTTTTGTGTAGTCTCTCTCTCTCTCTCTCTCTCTCTGTGTGTGTGTGTGTGTCGTGCACGCGAGCGCGCGCGCTGACTGCGTGCGTGCGTGGGCATCACTAAGCAAGGCTGTTTCGTCGGACTTCCTCCGACTCATCAGGAGGTTGAACCCCGACAGTCTGCCCGGATGTCGTGTGCATGTGTGTGTATCCACATGCCAAGTCAAAGTCGAGCGTGGTAGTGTAGTGTAGAGTAGTAAAGTCGAAGTCGAGTGTAGTAGCATAGGATAGGAAAGTAGAAGTCTAGTACAGAGTAGAGTAGCATAGGGGTGGGTCTTTCCCACTACATAGAATTTGCCCATGCCGCCACCAAAAAGCCACGCCCCCATCCAAAACCAGTGCACGGCGCCACGAAAAAATAGTTACATCACGGACAGCCTATGGGAACCCGTTTGCCCGAACACAAAACCCCACCGGTAGGTACCGCTCCAAAAAATCACTGGTAGGTACCGCGGCCCTCTCCAACAGGCAAATAATGCCTGCCGTCGCGTCCAAGGTACCGGGCCAACGGCCTGGATTGATGCACGCTCTTAAGATCTTAAGATCGCACTGATACGGACGTCGATCCGGTAGGACCCGACGGCCGGGATTTCAGATTTGTTACATGGTTCGGTTGATCTGGGCCATGGACCGGTAGGACCAACAACGGCCCGGATTTCAGATTTGTCACGTTAGCGATTTTAATAGTGTAGGGATCATCATAGATCCAACAGACTAAGTACCTGATCCCACAGTACTTAGTAGAAGAGCTTTTGGGGAAAAAAGGGGATCCCACATGGTTTCCCCAACTTCCCCGTCCGACGGCGCTGCAACGAAAAACGGCTGTTTCTACTGTGGGAAAATTGTGTGTCGCCACGGCCTTGACCCGCGGCACGAAGTTGGTAGGAAACAGTAGGTACCCCGTGACCCCCTACCCTTCCCCCAAAAAGTAGGCATGTTTTCGGGCTTTTTCTTCTTTTTTTTTTTTTTTGTGAATGCGGTCTTCCTTGCAGCAAAAAGGAGACCGGGTGTCTCCGCTGGCCCCGTGCACGGCCATCGAAATTCGGCGACGTTTTCGTAAAAGCGCCTAGAAGTCCGGCCTATGGGATCCCGCTTTTCCCTACGAAACGTTCGGCACTTCTCCTACTCTCAAGGGACTTTTACGTCATAGTGGGATCAGCCTCTAAGAATATGTATTCCACTTACTGTTCGGCAGAAGCGGCGTGGCTTACGTATGCGTCTTTCTACGTATGTTTCTAGCGTCATACTTGAGCCGCCAGTACCTTGCCCGGCTATTTTTCTTGGACGTCTGACATGCTCAGAGCTCTCGCCTCGGGGTCGGCACAGCATCGGGCAGGAGAAGTGAGGTTGGCAGTTGTGATTTCTGTTGTCCGTGCCTTTGCTTTATGTTCCATCTGGAAAAGTATGAAAAAGGGGAAACGAAAATAGAAAAGACAATTAGCACGCAGAGAAGATTTTGCAATTGCTTGGGCCAAAGGAAAAAAAAAAAAAAAAAGATTGACACACACCTTTCATTTTTTCCTTCTGATCATTTAGTGTGTGCTTGCAAGCGTTTCATTCCTCTAGTGAGCACTTGCAAGCTCTGCATGCTCTCTGTCTGCCACATTCTCTCTCTCTCTCTCTCTCTCTCTCTCTCTCTCTCTCTCTCTCTCTCTCTCTCTCTCTCTCTCTCTTATAATATTCGCAATACAACTCCACAAGAAAAGCACCGCTGCGCCAGACTGGTTTGCCAGACTTTCAACGACCCTTCAGGAGGTTGTACCCTGAAAGTCTGCCCAGTATGCATTTGACGATCGGAACTCACCCATCGCCCGGAGTTAGCGATACCCCTGAGAAAAGTGGTTGTATATGTGTGCCCACAACTATATGACTCTGAACTCACAAAGAAAAGAAGGGCTTGGGCAAACAGGTAGTTTGCCTGGGATCTTCTTATTCAGCTTTCTTCTTTCCTTCTGAACATTTAGTGTGTACGCACAAGTTTCACAGGAGCTGGGGGGCGAGAGATTGAGAATGTGTGTGAGAGAGAGAGAGAGAGAGAGAGAGAGAGAGAGAGAGACAGAGAGAGAGAGTTTAAACATTCAGGCACTACATCATTGCAATTAACGATAAAAAAAGATAGATTCCTGCATTGCTCACCTGGGGGTCCTCAACAGACAGCAGAAACGGCTTATCAGGGTTGAACATCCTGCACCCAGAGGGAAAAAGGCAAAAAAACGAAACAAACAAATACACAGCAATAACACTTCTCTCAGTTCATTCGCCATCTGCAATCAAAAGAACAAACCTGTACTGGGCTGCAAATTTGATGCATCACCTGTCACCTAAGGGGGTAATGAATACAAAAACAGTTTAGTTGAGACAAACCAACAATGCAACAGTTGCCTTTATAGCAAGCAACAGGAAGCGAAATAGAAGCCTTTAAATTCCTTTCTTAACTGTGTTCACTATGGCTTTTTTGGTTACCCATTTCATTTATCCTTGTAAATCCGCTTTTACTATGCCTGTCATTGAACAACGCTCGCCAAGTTAATTGTGGTTGAGTGCGGCCTGCCCACATCCCCGTGTACCATAACGGCCCACTTGCCCATTATGCAAGGAGGAAGGTATATTCCTGTTCACTTTCTTCCAATCTTCAGCTTACATATTAGTTATTTATTTGTTTGTTTGTTTGTGTACTTGTTTGTTTTTGCACACACACACGTGTGTGTGTGTGTGTGTGTGTCACGCGTGTGCGTGTGTGTGTGTTGTTAAAGCACCTCAAATTCTCTCTCTCATTTCCTCCACAAATCATAACAAACCATCCATAACGGAAATTAAGCCAATCCACAGATTTCGAGTGAACAGTGCTACCAGCCAGTAAAGAAAACAATTGTGCACTGGCAGTTCGGCAAAGCGTCGTGCCAGTGCAAATCCGCCACGGCAAAAGGGGGTCGGATGTACTGGTGGTTTAAGGAGAAGGATAATTGATTGATGAGATGGCAAATCCGCCACGACAATGCGAGCCTGTCCTCACATAGGAACATCCATGCAGTAACAAGGCTACCTGTTGCGGCTTCGCCCGCAAAACAAAGGACGGAAAAGGGTGCAAATGAGGGTGGGTGGGGGCTTGTTGGTCCGGGTGTCGGTTTGGGTGGGGCCGGGGTGTTTTCTAGGCTCACCTGTGCACTGTTGTTGACACTGCCGATGGAATGCTGCTGCTGCTTTGAACGCCTCACAGTTTGCCTTCTTTTCAGTTGTGGTTTGCTGGGTATGTGATTGTTCGGATTTGAACTCGTCTGTTGTGTGTGTGTCACACGTTGCATACCTGTCTCCCGCTCACCACAAATATTCTTTCTCAGATGTCGGGAGATACGCAATTCTGTGATCGTGTGGGGGGGCGTGTAGTAAGATTCGGGTCTCTCTCTCTCTCTCCCTCTCTCTCTCTCTCTCTCTCTCTCTCTCTCTCTCTCTCACACACACACACACACACACACACACGCACACACAACACATGCTATTTCTTTTAAAGGTCTCGATGGACCACGGAATCACGGATCAGATATGAAACTGATCGGAGCAGATGCTACACTTGATCGTCGGGGGTGGGGTGGCACGTAGTTAGTTAGATTGGGCTCTCTCTCTCTCTCTCTCAACACAGGTCTCGATGGACCACGGATCAGATATGAAACTGGTCGGAGCAGATAGGTGGGATGGGGAATGGAGTGGCACGTAATTAGTTAGATTGCTCTCTCTCTCTCTCTCTCTCTCTCTCTCTCTCTCTCGCTCGCTCGCTCGCAACACATGCTATTTCTTTTAAAGGTCTCGATAGACCACGGATTAGATATGAAACTGACCGGAGAAGATACTACACTTGATCGTAGGGGGTGGGGGTGGGGGGTGGAGTGGCACGTAGTTAGTTAAATTGCTCTCTCTCTCTCTCTCTCTCTCTCTCTCTCTCTCT